GTGCCGTCACTTTTACTGTTTATTCCACAGACTAAAGCGCCGACATGTGGCATCTCCACAAGATGTTCAACTACTGCGGCTAAATCTGAGCTCCGTGAACAAAGTCATAGACATTGATCTCCAAGAAGGCTCCGTGTGGAGTTCCAGCTCAGACGCTGTGCTCAGACACGGCGACGATGCAGCAACAATCTTGCCAGCTGCTGATACAAACTGCTTCTTCTCGGGCAGTGTCAGAACCGGGGATGGCTTTGCCAGCTTTAGTTTCTGCAACGGAGTGGTAAATATGGTTTCTCATTTCATTAACCTTCTGGTTTGTTTAGGAATAACCTTTTATAAACGGCGAGACCTATGGTTTAGCATGGATCTGTGGATCGGGCGGTAGTGGGATTGGGTCCTGGCAGAGCCTGAATTTTTTTTTTTTTAATGACCTTGGCTACCAGGTCGACTCAGCCTTGAATGAGTACCAGGTGCAGCCCTGGGAAGTAAAGTCAGCTGGCGTGATGCTAACCACATCACCCACCAAGAGCTGATTGGTCTGTAAAATATCGGTCTAGCCCTACATGCATAATACGCCTGAAGTCGTGGAAAAGGGTCCTGCACTATCTTTTATAAGCGGTTGGCCGAGTGGTTACAACGCCGAGCTCTAATGCGGGAGACCGGGGTTCGACCTCAGGGTAAGGAATTGGAGTTTTTATGTCTGGGGCAAGATTAACTATCCTAACTTGCACAGTTCGTGACGACAGCACCAGCAGTGCGGCCCTAAATCCTGAGGCTCACGACTACCCTTGTATACACCGTCCTTAAAAGTGGTACAGGCGGACAGTAGTGACCCTTCTATTGACGCGTGTGATAACATGTTTATAAACAGTTTGAGTGATTGGTCGCCGGCGAGTGTGTTTTTATTAAATCAGTAGCGCAATCGAAGCACTATCCTTCTTTTCCTATTATTATTATTATTATTATTACACTGACGACTTCTCATACTCCTTCTGTTTATCATTATTGTCATTGTTCTCTCCCCTCCCCCCCCCCCCCCCCACTCTCCCTCATGGCCCATGCCGCATAGCGTTGATAATCACCAGCTTTGAATTTCTTTGTTCTTCCACCAATCACATTTCCTGTTGTCTAGTTTCTTCTCTGATTTAAACATCCTCAATTCACTTTTATGAGTGCCTAACAAAATTTGATAATACTTTTGTTCTTAGTTTATGCAGAAATATCCATGGAAATATCAAGGTACACCAGAGGCGTACTTGGTGCAGCTGTTTAATTTGCTCTAATTATAATTTCCTTTGAGATTACACGGGATATTTGTTGCCTGCTTTGTTCAACTGGCTTCCAGAATACAACTCTTGGGTAAAAGGGGGTGTGGGGGGAAAAGGGGGGGGGGGGGTGTTGGAGGAAAGAGGGGAAATAGGTAGTTGCTCTGCTGGAGAATAAAATGGTTCTCCAATTTTCACTTGCATGTGTTAAACCTGAAATAACGTTAGAATTGAAAATACGTAACTTGGTTTTAAAACTATACAATTCAGAGTTCCATATGTTGTTAAAGCTGTGTAAAGCTGCTGATGCCTCGCCAGTGCGTGTCATGATTTCTTTCTTTGTATTCCCAATCTTTCAATTTACAGTCTGTATATTTTTTTTTAAATCACACAATACGGTATTGGAGACAGTGAAATAAACAAAACAAAGAGGAATAAAAAGGGTAGGTGAGAAACGAAAGATAACTTGATAAGTGAAGAGATTGTAATCTTCCAGTCACAGTTTTTGCTCTAGTTGTTTTATCAATAAAACTTGGAAGGCGATTAGAAAAATTTTCTTAAAGTTTAATGTCCCAACCAGTTGTTTATTTCTAAGTTTTCATAAACTGAATATTGGGAGAGGGTATTGATAATTAGATGAAGATGCGTGACCCAGATGTAAATGCATGACCGATTTTTAAATCAGAAAAATAAAATTGTAAATAAAAATAAAGATCGTGAAATAAATTGTCCGTTTTACACATGTTAGATTCATATTTGAATAGACCAGTTGGCACATAGTCGGTGTGTGTGCTGTGGTAAACCTTTGATTGTCCGCTTTTACTTCCCTTTACATTATATGGTGCTTACTTTAGGCTGGGTCGACTTAGAAATCATTGACCGAAGTGCGATTGTAAAGAAGAAGAAAATCAGGCTCGCTGGTGATTTACAACCAATGTTTTGGATTTTTCAGGCGATGCTACCAGAGAAAACAATGCACTTCACAACTTTCAAAATGTCCTGTGCAGTAAAAAAAAAATTACTTTCGTTGCATATCATGATATATTACAATTGTTTAGGATTGTTACAGTCGGCGTTTGTGGCTTAGGCATTGCGAACGCGCTTCATAAAGCCAGGGTGCCGGGTTAAATCCTAGCTGCGGGCTTTGACCCTTGCGTTACGTTTGAGAAGCTGACCGTAGAGAAAGCAGTGGCAAACTACTGGGCGTACATTTGCCTAGTAAAACCACAACAGCCAAAAACTTCCAGGGTTGATTCTGCAATGTCATGTAAAGGATACGCAACTAACTTTAACTTTGAATTATAACCATGCATCTTTTAATATGAATAAACAAGGTAGAAGGAAGTTATTAGTAACATAAATGTTGTTTCTGAGACGGAATTGACTAATAACAGGCTGTCATAATGAAATCAATATCATCATCATTGTCATCATCATTATCAGGTTCTCCCTGTGTAGGTTTCGGGGCCCCATTTTGGTTAAAGGAAAAAAGAATAGTCCCACTGCCCCTACTCCCCTCCCTCCTCCCCCAACCCCACCCAAACTCCCATTACCCCCAACTCTCCCCCTCCCCCACATACACACTCCCTCGCAAACAGCATGTCGTAACAGTCGATTAATTGTGGATGTTTCCTTCAAAGTTTGAGTGCATGTGCCTGAGAGGCAAAGAACCGATAATCTGCATTCAAATAAAGAAAATCTGTAAAACAGATGAGCATGTAAAACCCATGTTTTGGGAAAAGAATACAGTCCCGAGTTGGACGAACAACCAAAACTTTCCTTTTGAGTTTAAAGCCGGTGAAGAAGAAGAGGAAGAAAAAGATGATCAAATGTGTAAACGTGTTGCGTGAACGACAGACCTTTACAAAACACAATTATTGTCTATGCAAAGCGGTCTGAAATATAACATTTAACGATTTTCTTTTCTTCTACCTGAGCTCTGGAAAGAAATGGTCAAGCACTGAAAGTCCTGGGTTCGTTTCTTCGACTGTCTCTTTCCGTTTACTGTGCAATTTTAATAGAGATCCCTGGAGATCGTCATAAGAGCTACGGAGTTCTTGAATTGTGCCATGCTTTCAGACAGCGGCTGACTGTGCTGCTGAAAGAGACTGAGCCTTCTGAGATCAAACCCTGCTTAGTGAAGTTGATTTTCACATCTTTAACTGTATGTTTAACTCTTCATTTGTATTCAGCTTTCAAAGAAGGAGGTGGCATTATCTGCTGTGGTCCACAGCTGGGCAGTGATTATCACCTACCGACCCAGCACATCCAAATTGTGAAGGAAAAATAATTTTGAATAATCACCTTCTTACAACATGCTTGTTAAGCAGCAGTGTGTCTATTTAATGCCCCCCCCACCCCCCCCACCCCCCCCCCCAGCTCGCCCTAGCACATTCTCCTTCAGTCACGACTGAAGCGGGCCTCATAACCCATACGACATATTTAAATATTCATTAACTCGTTCTTTAATCTTTCTTTCTAGAATGGCATCATACACACGAACAACGAAAGCTACGTTATTGAACACTTGACCCCGAACGATGGCGGCGCCAACGACACAGATGCTGATCTACCATCTTTGGCTGTAAAAATCTCCCGTAGTGGTGACCTTCTGTCTGTACCTACGGACGACATAGATGGAGACGAGATAGATGCACTGGATGAGGATGGTGACGATGACAAGGAAAATTTATTTGATGAACCAATGACAACTAGTCTTCCAGGAGTAGACTCAACCACCCCAAAAATCGAAAAAGCTACTGACTCAGCAAAACTTAATACAGGTAACAGTAGTGGCGCGGTGATTTCGGTCACAGGCATGAGGGGAAGTTAAGTCTGATGTGATGTGTATAAGGAGATATTCCGTACCCCACTCGGGCGCCAGTCATTCACTGTTCTGGTTTTACGGAACCTCATGCAAGACTCCTGTTGCACGTCCCCGTCGTGCGCCACGGATAATGTCTCAAACGAGCATTAACAGAGTTGGCAGGGGATCTCGGAGCTGGCGGCCCCTAGAGGTGTAGAGTCCTTTCTGGCTCTCACCAGCCCGCCCCCAAACGCATGGGTGAAAAGTAACAAAACTCAAGGACTGCTTGCTAAATGTACCATCAAATGACAACTCTTGGTTAAAATTCGGGAGCGAATGGAAAACTATGCTGCTGAGACTCAACCCTGACCGAGAGATTTACCCGCAGCCAAGACGAGTAACATCTCTTGTGGGCGACTTCTCGCAGCAAGATCCCACCTACGTACATCCTCTGTCAATCCTCAGTGTCGTCGTCACCGCGCTGAGGTACACCATGGCAGCAACTATTCATATGCTGGCTTGAAAACAATGTCCGACAAAGTTACACCCCATGGCACACATGCAAGCTCAAAGTCCGACGATTATAACTCGTACCGATTAGGAAAAGTCTGAATGTCCGTATCCACTGGTCCAACTCGCCCGAGTGTTGGGACCAAACAGGTGAAGCCACGCCTGACGCATGTTGCTTCCCCATTCTGTCGTGTTAAGGGCACAGCTGAAACAACGTTAAAGGTGTCTAACGTAAGATGAAAAAGAATGTACCTATTTGTGTGGCCACAAACGTCCTAGACCTGCGGGCTGCTCCCCGCTGATCTCCGGAGAGCGCAGCCTTGTAGCGCGGGAAGCTCAATACACGGTTGTGAGGTTAAGCAGTCATGGGCAGGACGTGACGATTCCTTGGGTGAGCCCAGACCCAGAGCATCATGTGTCGGCTCTGCATTTATGGAAGCCTCCTTGGATGGCGGGGAATGCCCGTGATCTGCCCCTGCCTTCCCTTGAGGGCTGAAAACTCTACATAGAGCTGCCTTAAGGACGACATGCCGGGGGCCACACTTGTTAAAAGTCAAAGAGGACACCACACAAATAAGGCAACATCTCGACCCACACAAAACAATGGCCACAGTCAACCTAGAAATAGGCTTGACGTCTTCCTCCGAAGTCGGAGTACATCTGCCGGAGAGGCGGGGAACGAGTACTGCAAACAAATAAGCCAGTAAAACGGATGTACACGCAAAACTCAGGTCAAGGTAAAAGCCAAAAGTCCATTTTGGACGAACAACCGTGACTTACCGCCGGAATTCACAGCCGGTGAACAAGAAGAAGAAGAAGAAGGTAACAGTAAATGTAAGGTTGTAATTTCTGTGAACAAATGACTTCCTAAAAATCTTGGTGCTGTCTTATTTTCTATCTTTTTAGTATCTCATATTGTCTATTTCTACTGTTTTGTCTGAATTTTTGGTTTTAAGTAGAATGCATGCAACTTCAATGACGTTTGTATTAAAATATAGAATGATTATGATTTCTGAAAAGGGTGACTTCTATGACGTAATGTAATGAGCCATACAATTTGATTTGCATCATATATATAGAGAGACATTGTAAAAAATACATTGCGCTAAAAGCATCTAAAAGCAGAATGGGGGAGGAAGGATGAGGAATGCGAGAAATAATGTTCTTTAACAAACAAATTGCACTGGGGTCTATGAGGATGTGGTGCGGATAAATTCCACAACTATAAGCCAGAAAAGATGATTCACACTAGAGAGAGAGAGAGAGAAAGAGAGAGAGAGAGAGAGAGAGAGAGAGAGAGCGGGAGAGATGAGTCTAACATTTTTTTAAGTACCATAAATAACTGGGAAAAGGCCTTCAGTCAGCCTTAGAACGTACCAAACGTGTAATTAATTTCATGCTAAATCACAAATTTCCTGTATACAAAAGTAACTGCGCCATCTCAGCTATATTCCTGGCACATGTTTGTTTCTGTAGTTCGAGGACAAGCCACGATCGAGGTGGGTATATACATCAACGCCAACTGCATCAGCATCCTCAAGGAGAGACAGATCAGCACTACCTCACAGATTGTGGACTGGGTCATCAATCGGTGGAATATCGTAAGTAATCTAACAGTACTGTCTTCACCACTTTGACGTATCTGGCATATAGTGTCAGTCCTATATTATTTTATAGACCAATAGGAACTCGTTGCCTGATATTGTCACCATCAAACTGGCCGCTTTTACTTCCCATTACATTATCTTTCAGGCTGGGTCGACATTTGAGCAAATGTCAAATTGTTTTAAAATACCTGCCTCGACAAAGATTTGAACTTGTGTAGTATATAGACTCCACTTTATAGTAACGGGTTAGTTACATCTCTTTGCTAGTCCGAAATGGCAAGAGCACCGACTACATTAGGTCTTTTCAGAGTGGTTGTTAGCTGACTAAAAGGGTCGCACAAAGCACGAAACGCTCAAGTTCTTACCGCGACCCCTGAAGATCTCATCGCAAAAAAAAAAACAATGAAATCGGAAACCAATCCCATGTCCTTCAGTAAAGTTACAAATTTAACCAATGAGATGTAGAGACTTCCTTCGCATTCAACAGCTGTCGTTGAGAGTAATCAAAACCTCACTTGTAGATATGCTACGTTTGACTAGGTTGACCCAAATATATTCCGTTGCAAAAGTCGTTCACCGTTCGGTTAGTTGAAATTTGGCATGCAGCATACGGGCGTCCGATCTCACAACCCAGAGACCAGAGGAATTTACTAGAAATCAAAGTCTGTGTGATGAAATCCCAGCCATTACCGGGGATTAAACCCGCAACCTTTAGCACTCGAGGCGGACACCATGCATCGAGACCACGCAACCTCCTCGTAGCACTGGAGGTCACTTCCGAATTGTATTGTATAAATCATCTTTCTATGCTGGTGCTCAGTCTTCTGACCCGTGTCGATCCCCATTATCAAAACGTTGGCCCCTGAGTAAACTTAGCTGAATAGCACTGCTCTACACCATTTACTTCATTGAGCGTTGTAGACTCTTGAGTATGCTGAGTACGTATTCTATTTGAAATAAATAGGAAAATCAGACATCCCAGGAGGAGGAAGAGTGGGAGGGAGAGCAAAGAGAACTCAGACCGCACAGCAAAAAATACACAGATGCTCAATATTGTGCAGCGGAACATCTGTGGAAAAGAAATAAGAAACTGAAGTTGCCAAACTGCTAAACAACCACATGGTACACGTGGCTGCCCTACAAGAAACCCTACATAAAGACTCTGATCTACATCTCACTGGATATACTAGTTATGCCTGTAAGTGCAATGACTGCCGGGGCATAGTGACCTATATCAGAAATGACATACAAGGAGATGTAACAATGCTGTTGACATCTCACCCTACAGATGTGCAAAAAATAACTATCTGGCACAATGGAAGCAAATATACGATATACAACGTGTACAGCCCACCTCAGACAACATGCAACATACCAGAACTATACAAAACACAGTACCATAAAACCCTTCTTGTTGGTGACTTCAACGGACACTCGCCACGTTGGGGTTACCCTGACTACAATAGCACAGGGAAATACATCGAAGATACTTGTGAAACAACTAACCTATTAGTGCTCCAGGACACAGAGTCTACACCTACACTGTTACACAGGGCCCACCTATCTCTCAGCCGACCAGACCTGACCATCTGCTCATCCGACTTAGCAGACGCAAGCTATCCCCAAGTCCTGGACGACATAGGAAGTGACCACAAACCTATACTCACAACTGTAAACACCACCGCTAAGATTGAATGTTTAATTCTTCGAAATTATTGTTCGAAATGAACTTTCGAATATTTGACATGAATGTTCGAAATGAATGTTCACATTTTCCTTATGAATATTAATTATGCTATGAAGCCGTTTTGGTGAATAATTAATTAGAAACACGAAAGAATTTATTGGCGACAGGTTCGACTTTTGTGTGAGAAAAGAATCTTCAACCGACAGAAACCCATTGGGCATACTGTGCTGGGTCAGTCGGCACCAAGGGTAAATGGGTTTAGCTCATATCCGCTGAGGCCATCCCATATCACGGAAACAGCAAATTATTATCTTTTTATTTTTATATATTTTTTAAGAATTTACATCCCACCGGCAGTATCTGGCCTGCGACTACATTACTCAACCGTTTACAATAAAACTACAGGAGCGTTTGATCGTTCTTGCAAGAAAACAATTCGATGAGGATAACATTATTCCTGAATTCTTTCAGTATCATAATCTCACTATACGATTCTTGTTCATTCTAAAGAAAATGTTACCCAGACATAAGTATGAGCGCCAAGAAACAGATTATAAACAGCACATTCCCACCAATACTGTGCTACCAGTTCTAGCCTTGGACATTATCAAAGGCTTACCCACGTAAAATTAACACCTGCGAAATACGATGCCTGAGAAAAGCCGCCAACTTAACCATTCGAGACAGAGCTAGAAATGTAGAAACAACATCAGGCAGCAAGTTTTTTGAGAAACAGAAGATGAAATGGTTTGGTCCATTAGTAAGAATGCAGCCAGAACAGCTACCAACGAAGGCGCCCACACATGCAAAGATGAAAAGCAATAGCAAAAGGCGACCACATGAGACGATGAATTGATGACATTAAAGAGCTTCTACATAGACTGGAATGTCAAAAGCCAATGCTGTTTATTAAGTAATGGATCGTAAACTGTTCCTCCCCACAACGCTTCACTGCAGAAGTAGAAATTGATGATGATAATGAGATCTGTCAACTCAACTTTCATTATAAAAATGTTTTGTTTCAAAAGCCACGGGACAACAATAGCCGTAAAATGATACACTCTCATGTTGTAGATCAGACAAGTTTACAGGAATACATCTCGCATTGGGGCTGACATGGATGTCAAGATTAAGCGCCTGGAGATTTGGTCCAAAAACCCGGTAAGATTTCTGTAGTAGTTTCTTTGTCTTAAAAGGTTATAAGTAGTTTTCTTCTTCTTCGCGTTTACCGGTGTAAACTCCGGCAGAAAGTTCTGGTTGTTCGTCCACCTCTGGACTTTAGTCTTGTTCCAGAACCTAAGTGCTGCGAGATCATTCGTTTTACAGATCTGAATTACTTATATGCAGATTGTTGTTTCCTCGCCTCTGAGGCAGGTGCACACCGACTTCGAAAGAAGCACCCAGTTAGTCGACTCTTAGTCTTCACCACAATGGGAAGTTATAAGTAGCAATTCTTATATGCCTAATTCATTGCGGTATATTTAGTAGCAGATACAGCTTCACCTCGCAGATACAGCTTCACCTCGCAGATTCAGCTTCACCTCGCAGATTCAGCTTCCTCACAAAAGTGTAGCCTCATAATCACTCTGTTCACGCGCCTATGAAAACCATACAGAACGCTCATGCAAGATCCTTGTTTAAAAAAAAAAAAAAATACTTCCGCTTTGCAAACCCAGCAGGACACAGGTGCATTTATTGCATAAGATTGCTTTCAGAAGTTCAAACACAAACAGTCCGCAAATAAAATTGCAGTTAATTGTTGATGGAAGACCAGTTACAGCAAATCAGCAGTTGCACAGGCAACATTGCATACGGAAACACAATTGTGTATTTCTTTCCTTATTTTAAACTATCTAGATTATAATATAGATCCTCGCCGTATATTGTATTTAAAATTTATACTTTTACTGTTTAATTATGTAGATACAGTTAATGGTTTTGTCAGACAATTTAATTAAATTTTTGGGTAATATTTAAATCATTATAATTTTCATACCTTAAGGGTTATGATTAGGGTAGCAAATATAAAATGGCTACCTACATAATTTGTAATACCTTATGCTTTTACATAAATTTAGTTCTTGTTACTGACTCTATGTCTGTCACATAGTCATAAAATAGTTATTGCAATAATAAGCATAGTCTTCGTGTTTGTTTAATTCCCATATTCGCAAGATTCCTTAAAGAAACGTTTTTACACATTTTTTTTAAATGGTAGGAAAAAAAGCAACGCCGGGTAAAATCTACGATCTGTTATAAAATACACTAAATAAATGCAGCAACAGACTTGTCAGTCTATGTCTTATTCACAACAATGTGTTTTGTATTAAACATCATAAAAAGACACATTTACAAGCACACGTATGTAAAGAAGTAATAGACACATTTGTGTTAAACGACTGTGGCGCATCAAGAATATTAAGCTAGACATGTTTTAGAGCAATCGGATTTTGGTTGCTTAAGTCTCCAACATAACATCAGCCGCCTTTACTTTCCATTAATTTTTTTTTTAATACAAATATGCAATTTTCAGGATTAACATCTCAATGATGATACTCAAAGTAGCTACAAATCCTGGAAACATAGTTTCAATCTTTTAGCATGTTTATATTGGGACACCACAGAATGGTTATTAAGTAACCTGTGGTCCAGCGTGGGTTTGTTACGTATGCATGACATTACCTGCTGCTTATTTAAAGCTGTGCCGATCTGGCAGCAGAGCTCAATATTGCACACACATACACACACACACACACATAAAATGCACCTCAATCCACATTTGAACCCCATACATTAGGGCCGTAAGGCTAGCATCAAACCACTATGCCACCGCGCCTACTACCCCCTCCCCCTAAAACACAAGCACATGCACACATATACACACATATGTATGTATGTATATATATATATATATATATATATATATATATATATTCATATATATATATACCGAATATTCGCTTCGTATTCGCTTCGGGGCCTAATAGAAGAACTATTGACTATTCGGTATTCAGCCGAACAGTTGCTGTCGGGCTGATTATTAATAGTAGTTACCTTACACCCGCTTCTGCATACACTGCCTTAATACTGACAGCATGGAATTATTTCTTTTGTTGAAAGCTAATGCAGCTTTCATACATTAACTAAGCTGTCATATAAGTACATATAAGTACTTGAGTGCAAACTTCAACTGCTCCAACATGCTGAGAGAAGGAATACAATCTAGAATACAACCTAGAAATAAAGTATACTATGCCCTTCAACATCTGCTAAAGTCAAAGTGCTGTCTCGCAACACCAAGATCAAAATATATAAAACGTTGATAAGACCGGTCGTTTTATATGGCTCTGAAACTTGGAGCACAACTAAAAAAGATGAGGCCTTATTATAGGTTTTCAAAAACAGTCTTACGACAAATCTTTGGCCCCATCAAAGATGCTAACAGCGGGAGAGTGAGATGCAACAACGTAACACATAATCTGTTTAAATCACCATTGATTACTGGCATTAGGAGAGCTTACAGGCTAAAATGGTTGGGGCATATTGAAAGAATATCAGATGACAGAGAAGTAAAACTAAATACACCTGAGAGAGGAAGGGGCGTAGACCACGAGGCAGACAAAAAAGAAGTTCGAGAGGTAATGCCAAGTCAGACCTGCAAATAAATGGTGCCACAAATTGTGAAGATAAGGCCAGCCAGAGAGATGAATAGAGACGAGTGATATCTGCTGCAGTAAACCTCAAGGGCTCACAATGCTAAAGAAAAAGACTATACTGTGCTCTTTATGTAAAGTAAAAGTTCAGCTTACATTTGACATTATGAATGTGTATGTAAGTTTTTTTTAAAGGATATATAATACACTATTCGTATTCGTATTCGGCTGAATAGTTAGTCTAGTTATTCGTATTCGGCTGAATAGTAAAAATCACTATTCGGTACAGCCCTAATATATATATATATATATATATATATATATATATATATATATATATATAATATTATTATATATATATATATATATATATATATATATAAATGAGAGAGAGATAGATAGAGAGAGAGAGAGAGAGAGAGAGAGAGAGAGAGAGAGAGAGAGAGAGAGAGAGAGAGAGCGTGTATGGATATATCTGTACGTGCTCGTGAGTGCTGCAAATGTGTGGTATAAGGGAGAACACTCACGATACACAGCTAGGAGCAGTTATAAGGATGCTTTCCCTTTTCAGGCCTACTTTGATGGTTCAGAGCCAAAACCGACCATCAGGACACATTTAAATACATTCTGCGAAAAGTCTCCCGAAGACGGCATGGATCACAAAATGATTTATACCTGGTAAGTTGTCAGTGTTGTCGTAGATGAGTGAATTTTTTCAACAGTCAGAAAGTGATTCAATTTTCAGACATATTGAACATGAAGTGCCAGCTCCACATCTGAAGGAACCAATATGCATAGATTGTGTTATGTGATCAGTATGATTTCAGTAGCTTTTAGTTTTCAGATTTAATGGAACACTCTTATAAATGAATCCTTACGTCCTTGTTAGGATGATTTTTGTTTTTTGTTTTTTGAAGCCCTACTCTGGCTTTTTCCAGGGGTCGCAATATAGTCAGGCCATAAATATGGACTAATGGCTGAACGCGGTTTTTGTGACCTCTCCACGGATGATCTGCATCCACATGGTGGCATTCTGTGTCATCGGGTGTTTATCGCTTGTGTGATGTCCTGGTGGGTTAGAAAGTCAGTCAGTCAGTCTTGCCAAGGGCCGCTATATAGCCTGGCTATAAATATGGCTATAAATATGGTCTAAAGGCTAAACCGCGGTTTCTGGGACTCTCTCCACGGTGATCCTCATCCACATGGTGGCACATTGTGTCATCGGGTGTTTATCGCTTGTGTGATGTCCTGGTGGGGTAGAAAGTCAGTCAGTCAGAACACTCATGTAATCTCTATCTGCCGTCCTTTTTAGCATGAAATGTGTCTTTATTTGAAGCTCCACCCTGGCTCTTGCCAGGAGCCGCAATATAGTCAGGCCATAAATATGGCCTAATGGCTGAACGCGGTTTCTGGGACCTCTCCACGGTGATCATTAACCGCATGGGGCACATGGTGTCATCGGGTGTTTATCGCTTGTGTGGTGTCCTGGCAGGGTAGAAAGTCAGTAAGTCAGTCAGAACACTCATGTAATCTCTATCTGCCGTCCTTGTTAGGATGAAATGTGTCTTTATCTGAAGCTCCACCTTGGCTCTTGCCAGGGGCCGCAATATAGTCTCTACATCTAAAGGAACCAATATGCATAGATTGTGTTACGTGATCAGTATTATTTCAGTAGCTTTTAGTTTTCAGATTTAATGGAACACTCATATAAATGAATCCTTACGTCCTTATTAGGATGAATTTTTTTTTGTTTTTTGAAGCCCTACTCTGACTTTTTCCAGGGGCCGCAATATAGTCAGGCCATAAATATGGCCTAATGGCTGAACGCGGTTTTTGGGACCTCTCCACGGGTGATCCGCATCCACATGGTGGCAATCTGTGTCATCGGATGTTTGTCGCTTGTGTGATGCCCTGGTGGGTTAAAGGTACTACTACTACAACTCATTACAGAGTTTTAAAAAGACGTCCTTGTGTGGGACGCATTTTTTTTTTTTTTTTGGAAGCCTAACCTCCCGGGGGCCATACTATAAATCAACATATGGGTTGAACAGGGTTTATCGGACCTGTCCCCTGGTGATCCTCATCCCAATGGTGGCACTAGTTTCACAGGGAGGGTTATGTTATGTCTATCTGTCTTTGTCGGCGTCTATTGCTTAAGCATTGCGAACGCGCTTCGTAATGCCCGGTGCCGGACGATGTGTCTTGTGTTGGTTTCGACAGTGGTAACAAGAGTTGACCATACAGAAAGCAGTGGCAAACTACTGAACGTACAATTTGTCTAGAAGAATAACAACATCTAAAAAATGCTCGGGTTGGCTTTGCAACGTTCTGTAAATGGATACGCAACTAACTGACTTTTCTGCCAATAGTTCATTTTCCTCTAATATCATTATAAAACACATAGGGCTCACAGTCTGTTTCTCCATTACACTATATCCTGTACAATCCTTTCAAAATTATGGATACAGATCAGTCCAGCACATTTGGCCTCTCTCTTCAGTGCTGGTTTTATGGGCGTCTGTGTTCTAACTCCGTCGGTTTCTCATTTAAGTGATTTTTCTTGTATTTTCTAAGCTTGCTTTTCTAGAGATGTGTTGATATATAACTTTGACTTACACCGGTTAATACCAGTGGTTGTTCATTCAGTTCTCCTATTTCTTAACCTTCCACGAGTTTATCCTATTTAATCTTCATCACTTTCCTCGTGCATTTGGTTTTCAATGGATTTAATTTTCTTTCCTGTTTTAATTAAGGGGATGTTGAAATGACGAAAATAGTGAATTTGGGTCAGGTTGTCAATTTTCGGAAAAGTTTATTTCTATACACCTTATTATGTCTTCTGTCAGAATCACTACTCGTTTTTGTTAAAATAAAATTATTTAGATGAAATAATAATATTTTACTGAGCTAACCTAAGTAGTGAAATTATTTGTAAATTTATATTTGTGACAAAATTGCTTTTTTTCGCAACTTGACAACGGCATCTCTACAAGGAGATAACTGAATGTATTATATACCGTTGTAATCGTAATTATGTCCCCTACATTGTTCAGCCGGAACCGTGATTCTGGTATTTCAAGTTTTCCATTCAATGCCGATTCCCTGACCAGTATAAATGTCCGGACACTTCCATATATGGGTATAACGTACTACGTGCGATTGGGTTGGTCTCGTTGCTCACGTGACTTCCACTGTTTTTTGATACGTGTGAATCCCGTTGGCTAAAACTGATCACGTGGTATCATATTTGTCCAAGATGGCCGCGTGATCGAATGTTGACATAGAGACTGCAAAACTTCGTAAATTGAAAAAAATGCCTCGCTCTAAGAAATTTACCCTAAAGTCAGCTGCCCAGCGTAAGAAATCTAGAAGTTTACAACTGGCAGATGCTCGCAAGCGAAGAAAAATCGAGCAGAACGTCGTAAACATTACAGAAGATGTGGAATGCGACCAAGCTAAATTGCACATGGCTGATTCTCATTGTTCTAAGTCTAACGTCACCGATACTGCGACTGTACCATCCTGTTCATCTCAAAGTCGTGAAAGTGACTCTTTCTTTTCAGAAAAAACCCGAAGCCAGTTTAAAATAGATACCTATAAATTGATGACTTCCTCTAGCAGCAAAAATGTTTCTGTTGACAACAGTGCACCCAACAAACTTGAACACAGAGGGATTGTTGATTTTTCCGAACTTGATGATATAATTATCAAAACGTTATGTTGTCCACTATGTAAAAATTCGAGTCTTATTTTGAAAACTGACAGTAAGAAACCTAAAGGGTTAGCTGTGCATGGAGAAGTTTACTGCTCTTGTTGTGAACAAGTAGTTTGTGGAGGATACCTAGCTTCAAGAAGCAGTGATAGGGATAGATCTTTTGCCATCAACAGCCAGTCACTTTTTTCTGCATTAGTTTGTGGAATGGGTGCCACAACATTCAACAATTTTTGCGAAAATATGAACTTGCAAGGTCTTCATCACAGAACTTTCCATAACAAAGCGAATCATTTGTATTCAAGGTTAGGAGATCTGGAGGACATGGTTTTTTCTCAAACAGTGAAGTATGTTCGGCATATCCATGCACAGCAGTCAGGCATCACTCTACATGACAATGATTTGCTGGATATTGCTGTCAGCTTTGATGGCACTTGGCTGACTAGAGGCCACACATCCCACATTGGGGTTGGCTGTGCAGTGGATGTCCTTACTGGACTTTGTATAGATGTGCATGTTATGTCGACTTATTGTCAGGTGTGTGAGACCTCTGGTAAGACACTTGCCAGAGATAATCCAGATGAATTTGAATCATGGAAGTCAGACCACCTTCCAAACTGTGATAACAATTTAACAGGATCTGCAGGTATGATGGAGGTGGAGGCTGCACGAGTGCTGTGGCAGCGGTCTGTGGCCCGTCATAAGCTTCGCTACACATCGATACTGTCTGATGGTGATGCGAAAACATATGCGGAGCTTATCAAAATAATACCTTATGGGGACGACATTCACATAGAAAAAGAAGAATGTATAAACCATGTGAGTAAACGGCTTGGAACAGCACTCCGTAATGTTGTTACAGACTGCCGAAAGCAGGGTGTGACCCTAGGTGGACGTGGTAAAGGTCAGCTTACACAGAATGCCATCCGAAAGCTGACAATTTATTACAATAGAGCAATAAGGAACAACACAAGTGTAGAGTCCACGAGGAACAGTGTTAAAGCTTCACTACATCACTGTTTTTCAACAGACAAAACTCCACGCCATGAAATGTGCCCAAGTGGAGAGCAGTCTTGGTGCTTTTTCCAATCTGCCCTGGCTAGGCATCAGATTCCGGGTCCTCATGACAAGATGTTACACACATGGCTCAACTGTAACAAGCTACAGAAATATCTTTTGCCAATTTATGAAAGGTTGTCTGATCCTAAACTACTAAGTAGGTGTGTTTCAGGAAAAACTCAGAATTCCAATGAGTGTTCGCACAGTCTGATCTGGGCTCGCTGTACTAAAGACAACTTTGCCTCACGCAAGCGTGTTCAGTTTGCAGTTGTAACAGCTGCAAGAGAGTTTAACTTTGGTGCTGCTGCAGCCCATGACACTGCACAGTTTTTTGGATTTTCTCCAGGCCTGCATATGAAAAGACTAGGAGAGTTTAGGATTCAAAAGAGAGTTAGAAATAGCTTAAAATCTAAAAAAAGACAAGCAAACAAAGAGACGGGACACTGTGCGAGCAGCCAAACTGAAGAGGGAGGAAGAACTGCAGGCCCTAGAGGGTGGTCCTGCATATGGAGCAGGATTGTTCTGATGATAACACACTGTCAGAAACTGTGTTTGTGTGTAAAATACATAGTTTAAACATTAAGGTAACTTTATTAGCATAAAAAACATGAAAATAATTCTTTTTTCACTGCTTTCTCATTTTCCCCTTTTTTTAACTCTTAAGTAATATTTTTCAAAAACTTTTTGTCAGATTGTAATGGAATTTCACATACTTATTTATGATTGTATTACTTCCATACTGGCAACAGCATTTGAGAAACTAAGACTTAGTTTTTTTTTTGCAGCAGTCAGAAAACCACAAAAATTGTCCATAAAAAAGCGGTTACAATTTCAAAATTAGATAGAAAAAAAATGGCTAGCGATATCATTAAAATCTGTTGATAGTGTGTAAAGGGCCTATGATTGTACATATATATAAAAAAATAGAGCTTTTACACACACAAATGAGAGTTTTGGACTGTGATAAGAAAATCCAATATGGCCACTGTTTATCTTGGTTTCCATAGCAACCGTCAAGTGTGCAGTCAATTTGACAGTATTTTATTGATCAGCAATCTTCACTACAAAACCATATACCATATCAGAACATGTAAATTAAATAGTATGCATTCTGGTTTTTTTAGTGCAGGATCCCCATATTTTAGACCATCAGCACTCGGTGGGATATGTGGTCAGCATTACGCCGGCTGTCTTTACTTTCACAGGGTGAACCCCACTCGCCCGGAGAGGCCCATGACGTCGACTGCGGAGGAGCACGTTTGATGATTTCTGAGGAAGTGCGTTCCAGGATCAGGTTTCCACCTGCGAGCGATAAGGTGGTGTGGTGTAAGTTGGAGGCAACATTGTGTGAGATACTCAAACATGATTTAAACAAGAAGTCGTTAGGCGACAAGCTTTCAAAATTTGGTGATGTTATATATGAGCACTGCTCCCGCGAGTTCGGAGCAGTGCAGAAGGCACAACCGGGTGCCAAGCAGAATAATTGCAGGAGGCAGAGGGACATTCTGAAGTGTCGGGCAGACAAGAATGCCCTCAGAAAACGGTTCAAAGCCGCTTCAGGCAGCAAACGGGAGGGGCTGTACGAAGTCTGGTTGCATTTAAAGAACAGACACAGTGCCCTCTGTCGCGCTGAGCGTTTCTGTGCCAACAGACGAAGAACCAAAAGGGAGCGAGAGAAATTCTTTAGGGACAAAAGGCGAATGGGGTCTACATTCCCAAAGAGCAGGACTCGAAGAGTCTTCATCAATTCAGGCCCATCTCGCTGTTGAATGTCGAGGCACAGGTCAATGATATGATCGAGCAATATTTCTCTAAGTTCGCTTTGCGCTTCTCTACCTCGACGTTTACCACGAGATGGACTGAGCTGCAGATTGGGATAGCTATGGGCTGTACGATCTAACCAGTATTGTTTGTCATGGCCATGCAGATCATTTTAGACGGGGCGGCCGGCTACGGACAGGGCCTTCAAATAGGGGACCACTGGATGCCGCCACTACGCCCATTTATGAATGACACGACTATTATAACGGGCAGCGAGGAGTCTGCCCGCACGATCCTGAAAAGATTGGACGCAGTGGTCCAATGGAGCTGTATGCAGTTCAAACCGCAGAAGTCGAGGAGTCTGTCAATCCTTAAGGGCAAGGTGTCGGCAACCAGTTTTACGGTGGCAAGGAACAAAGATCCCTACGGTTCTGGAGGAACCGGTGAAGAGCCTTGGTCGCGTTTACGATTCGAAGTTATCTGATAGAGCGGAGGTCCGGCGAATACTCGAGTCACTGGCTACAGGCCTGCTCGAGCGTTGCAGTCTGGTCGGAAAGTTCAAGGTTTGGTGTCTCCAATTCATGTTGATTCCGAAGCTACTCTGGCCACTGTTAGTCTACGAGGTGACGATGACTGCAGTGGAAACCATGGAGAATAAAATCAACACAGCCTTAAGAAAGTGGATTGGTGCACCTCTTTGTCTGACCGACGTGGCTCTGTATTGCAAACAGGCTAAGCTGGTACTTCCGTTCAAATCGATAACCGAAGATTTTAAAGTTGGCAAAGTAAGACTCGCCATGCTCTTGCGCGAGTCTTCAGACCCAAATGTCGTCGCTGTCCAGCCCGCTCTCAAGACTGGGCAGAAGTGGAGAGTCCTCGATGCGATTGAATCTGCGCAGAACGCACTAAAATTGAGGGAGATAATGGGTTACACTCAAACCGACCGTCAAGGCCTAGGGCACGGGAAGGTCAATTGGTGGTCAAAGGCCTCTGCCAAAGAACGCCGAGACATGGTAATACAACAGGTGAGGGACAACGAAAACGAGGTTCGTTTCCAGAAAGCGGCCCAGCAGTCGCAGCAGGGCCATTGGGTCAGCCTGGAGAGCGCATTGCCAAGAGTACTCACATCGGTTGAGATCTGGCGAATGATCCCGCTGCGACTGAGCATTATCGTTCGTTCGGCGTACAATGTATTACCGTCCGGTGTTAACATGGTTAAATGGTCTGCGACCAACGATCCGACTTGCCCGTTGTGTAAAGCGAAGCAGATGCTAGATCACGTCCTGTCCGCGTGCAGGAAAGCCCTAGGCCAAGGCCGATATACCTGGCGACACAACAAGGTGCTAAAAGAGTTAGCAGCCGTTGTTGACCAGGCTAGAATGAGGGCTAACGCCAGAACCAGTTCTACTATCGTCCCCATACGTTTCCTCAAGGCTGGGCAGATTCAAAAGGGTAAGGTCAACAAAAACGCGTTCGCTCCATCTATGCTAGACTCTGCGAGGGACTGGTTACTGGCGGTTGATCTGCCAGGCCATGAAAGGTACCCTGAGTTAATCCGGAAGACCGGTCTGCGACCTGACATGGTTCTCCACTCTGCGGAGTTGTTGTTGTTGTTATCGATCCAGCGGCGCATGAGCTTTCGCCCTTTGGCCCAATGCCATGTAGTGGAATTTGCATGTTTTCACAAGCTGTTCTTTTCCTCCGTACAAGGTGTTCCACTTGTCTGGTCTCGGAGGGAGTAGCGTTCTTCTTGTCTCACTGAGTTTTGGGCACTCAAAGAGATGGTGTTCAACAGTTTCGTAGGGGTAGTTACATAGCTGGCACTCTGGGGAGTGTTGTGGCTGTATTCTGTTTAGGTGTCCATTGAGTGGAGTATGTTGCGTTCTAAGTCTGAAGAATGGATACATGTCTATACTGATGGATCAGCATTTAAAGCTACCATTAAAGCAGGTTACGGAATCTACAAAGGTTATCCCGATGGATCTGTTGAAGAGATTTTTGATGCATGCGGGGAATTCTGTTCAAACTATGAAGTTGAAATAATTGCACTGGAAACAGCAGTATACCACCTTAAGACTGTAATGGATGTTTACCCTTCAAAGGTCCAAAATATTGTCATCTTCACAGATTCAATGTCTGCCCTTCAAGCTCTGGAGGGCAGTGAACGCTGCAGAACTGACATAGCCAAGATAATCCTGGATGCTGATCAGCTTATTACCTCATACAACATCAGAATAGTGATGCAGTGGATTCCAGGTCACTCCGGCACACCAGGTAATGACAGAGCTGACAGATTGGCAAAGAAAGGAGCAACACAAGAACAACCACCAACCACCATGGGAGACACTGGAAGAGAGGTTTATAGACATATGTCTGGCCCTGATCCTAATGACAGCATTAACCATCTAACAAGAAGGGACCAGGCTACCCACTCTGCGGAGAAACGGCAGCTCATCCTGATTGAACTGACCGTCCCATATGAGTCGCGTTTGGACGAAAATCACCTGAACAAGCTCGAGAAATACAGTGATTTAGCAGCCGGTCTGAGGAGAAACGAGGCGTACACGGTACGTGTCTTTGCCGTCGAAGTGGGAGCGCGAGGTCTCGTCTCCACTTCATTGTACAATGTGGTTAAAGAACTAGAATTGCGCGGTAATGAACGGAAACGAACACTTAAAAAACTGGGCGAGGCAGCTGAAAGGGCCTCGAGCTGGCTTTGGACGCAACGCAACAACGTAGGGGACGGGCCTCGGTGAGCTGGTCCGGGTTTCTAGTGGAAAAGGGTTTCTCACCCTTTGAAAGTCCATCGTGTCCGAATTGTCTGCCAGTGTTCCTCTGCCACCTGCTAACAAAAGTCCAACATGTGTCCGGTAAACCAAACGTAAGCTTGTCGCTCGGTCGTCCAGGCATGATGACTATTCTAATTAAGCTGCCGCAACGACTTCTTATCTCACAGTACCTTCTGCGAAACCACCAAGTCGTCTTGTCCCTATCCGAAAGAAAACATCATCCGGTAATCTCGTGCAGCAGGGTACCAGCCCTGAGCTTCATGAACTCAGGTGGGCCCACCTCCGAAAGTGTCTAGGAATCGTGGGCCGAAACACCTGTCGACGACGATAATTTCTACTGACGACTGGTAGATCCCTGATGTACTTGCTCCCTGTGAGTTTATTCCTATCACAGGACAGCCCATCCTGGTACCCATTTTAGGCTGGGTCGACCTGTGACGCCCCATACCATGATAAAAATCCAAGCAGCCAGCAGTGGGTTTTCTATCGCAGTACGCTGGCTTACGAGTCGGTCTCGCAACGCCTAAACCAAAGACGCCGTTCTGTTTTAAAGGGTTCTTCAATTTCCGATTTAATATCTCAGCAGCTTCCCATAATGTTTCCCCATTCGGCTGATTGTCTAGCACAACCAGTCTCTCACAATAATCAATAATGCACATCTTTAACAGGGAAAGTAGTGAGGGAGCTGTCGGACGTGCCTATGTGGGAGGTGTCTGTTTTGCCAAGGCCAAGTGCGCCATAGTCATACCTCAGAGAAATGGTGTTACGCGGGAGCTTCATGAACTTGGCCACAAGTGAGTCGAATACCTGATACTTCATTTCAGTGTGTTTATCATAGTTTTCCCTACCCGAGTCGAATACATGATAGCTTATTCAATTGTCTTTGTTATTGTATCCCTACCCGAGTGGAATATCTGATATTTCATTTCAGTGTGTTATTCGTCTTCAGACAGAAACAAAAGAAAAAGAAGGCTAAGTCTAAAACCAGTACTACAGTTTATAAAACATAAGCAACACATGATGTCTAAAATACTGTCCAGGCTGTGTGCGATGGAGAGGAGGACTTCATCCCTGGCATTACCTGATATTCCTATAGGTGTGATTCCCTACCACCCTAAAGCACAATGAAACGTTATCGTACGGAAAGACAAAGACAGAAATGTGCCAATAAATGGTCATTATAACTATCCTATTTACTGTAATCATCTTTGTAATAATTTTAATATCAGTTATCATCACTTCCAACAACATCATTAACAGAAAGCAATTCACGCACCGAAAGTGACAGACTCAATGAGAATACTCAAGAAGATTCAAACTGGCAAACACCGACTAGAATGGTTTGAATGAATCCAGAAATCCCGCCCCAAGCATTGGCTATTCTCACAGGACACCTTGGGGTGAAAGGAAATAAAAGTGCTGATAGACTGGCCGTGTCTGGCACCAAGTAAGAAGAGGAAAGACATGCACAAGTAATAGCAGGGTGGAGGACGAGCGGTCTGAATCGGATGGAAGCATCACGCCCAGAAATGGCGCAAATACTCGAATTTAGTCACGAAAGTGACGCAAATAACCCAGACCACAAATATAGGCGGAGACTGTTAGCAGCCTCTGCGAGCTAGCAGCAGTCTGAAAGTGGTCGACCGTTTAAATTTTTTTCTCAAAAGGACTTGGACTTGGCCGTGTCTGCAGTAGTTTCTGGAAGAAGAAGAAGTGTGGTCAGGGAGACATACTGAATGCTCAGCGTTCTATAGACTTTGAGACAAAGGGGTCAGAGATGAGGAACTGCTTGTTGAAAAAAAAAAATGTATTCAACAACCAAACATGCAGAAACCGATTGTCGGCAAAGAAAGAAGATATGACAGTCAGTAAACTCATACCAGGCGCTGTAAGCATAGAGACACTGAGATTGCTGATGCCTCGAGAAAGACAAAGCACGAATGGATTGGACCAGTGTTCTGGGATTTTGTGACAAGTAACATTATCATCATCCTTGTCAAAAATATCTCTTTTAACGCTGTGTCCAATGTGACCAGCTCAAAATCTATACAGTGAATATGTAACTTCTTCTTTTTTTTTTTTTTTTTTTTTTTTATCACTACTGCTTATGCCGAAAAAAAAAGCGTCACAGCGAGAAATTATATGTAGTTTCTTGTCTTTTGCTAGTTGCGTAGGTTGTATAAATGTCATATTGTGTTTCTTTAGTATCTCTTTCACTCCATCCATCCCTATTTCCTTGTCAGCCACTTGCTATGTAGCCTGCTGTTCTCTCATAATTGCTGTATGCACAACACTGTCTTCAATATTTAACTCATTTAAATATTCATACTGCTCACAATCCACCGACTGTATACACCAGCCAAAGCACACACACACACTCTCTCACACACACACACACACACACATACACACACAAAACTGCTGTCCATAATATTCATTCTTTGGATACACAGAGAAGGAAGAGAGTGCGAATTCACATGCTTCCAACTGTAGAACATTTACAGATCTCGCTACAGTAGATGTTGATCCAGACCTTATGGTAACTTGTTCAGTCCTATATTGTTGACATATTAACTCTTTATGTCTGAAAAAAATGAAACAGAAAAAGTAAAGATCCCTTTACACGCCCTTAGGCTCATAGGGCATATGGGAAGAGCATTCATATTTTTACAGACCAATCGGCACTCGGTGGGTAATGTGGTCAGCATTACGCTGGCCGTTTTTACTTTCCCATGACAGCCCATCCTGGTACCCCATTTGAGGCTGGGTCGACCTGCGACGTCCCATACAACTATAAAAATCCACGCAGCCCACGCAGGTTTCGATTGCGGTACGTTAGATCACGAGTCATTTATGTCTGAACACCCTTAATAATAGAGTTTTGAAGTAACAAAGTCTGGGGACAGAAGAGGATATACAGACTTTGTAGATGTAATATTACATTGTATGATACTTTGATCTGTATGCTGTGATCTGTTTCCAGTCTTGGACTCCTCCACGATCCAAGGACCCCCAATTGCACTTGGCCCTACGGTTTCATGGGCTGGCAAGACACCACCGATTTCAAGGACTGTTACCGACCACTGCTTCTGTCATCGTTAGCGTAAGTATCTTATGTTATCTACACAAGAACTCGCCGGCTTTTAGATTAAAGTGTTTCCCTTATGGGTTCCGGGTCTCAAGAAAGTATCGTTCCTTGGAAATTAAAATTAGCTTGGGATTTCACGAAAGCGTTGTTCTATGGAAATTTAAAGTAGTTCTGGGTTTCAATATAGTATCGTTCCTTGGAAATTTTAATTAGTTCCGCGTATCAAGATAGTATCGTTCCTTGGAAATTAAAACCTGTTTCTAGTTTCAAGGTAATAACGTGCCGTGGAAATTAAAATTGGTTTCTAGTTTCAAGATAGCATCCTTTTTCGGAAATTAAAATTAGTTTCTAATTTCAAGATAGTATCTTTCCTCGGAAATTAAATTAGTTTATAATTTCAAGACAATGTCCTTCGTTGGAAATTCTTCTTCTTTTTCGCCTTCACCAGCTGTAAACTCCGGTGGAAATTTCTGGTTGTTCGTCCGCTCCTGTTCCAGAACCTGAGTGTTGCGTGTGCATCCATTTGACAGATCTGACACATTTGTGTGCAGACTGTTGGTTTCTTGTCTCTCAGGCAGATACACTCCGACTTCGAAGGAAGCCCCCATTAGTCGACTCTTACGACGTGCTTTTGGGTAGGCAGTGGGTCTATTCTTGTTTTCCCTATAATAGCAGCAGGAATCGACCAGAAGAACAGTGAACATAGGATATCAAGGACATCCGTGGTGTAAAATCTTCTGTGACTGGAGGTGGTTTGCAATGGCTTGAGAAGCGTTTCGGTACGCTCCGATGAGAGCGATATGATATGCTGTTTTTTAGTATTGTTAGCGTCAGTATCCAATATTCTTCTTTTGTGCTTCTTGCATTATTAACGCAACTATCTTATTTCATTCTATTTTTTTCCTGGCATTACCAGTGTAGGTATAAATTATTATTTCAGTATGTATGCACTATTATTTGACACTTCTATACCCACTGCCTTGTGGTCGTCATAAACAGCAAAACCACACTTTTAAGACGTTCAATTTGTACTGTAGTTATTCATAAAAATACACATTTCGAACATGAGCGCGGGGAAAGGATTATTTAGCATTTTGTCTACAAATGAAGAAGCGTAAAATGTACATTTAAGTATGTAAATTATATTTCACTAGCTCAGTAAGAGGAAGAGGAGGAGGCGGAGGAGAAGAAGAAGAGGAAGAAGAAGAGAAGAAGAAAAAGAAGAAGAAGAAGAAGAAGAAGAAGGAGAAGAAGATCAAGAAGAAGAAGAAGAAGAAGAAAACGAAGATAAAGTAGAAAAAGACCAAAAGGAGGAGGAGGAAGTAGAATAATAAAATGACATAAATGAGATATTTTAGGTTGTACTACGAATATGCAATATTAGATATGTATCTGAGGTTAAGTACACACACAAAAACATTTGTATGAATGTAAAATTAAATTAACCTGTACAACTTGTTGCTAAAATTATCTTCTTCCACAGCAAACCTGACCGAAGCTGCCTTTATTCAACCACTAATCTGACCGCCCAAGTCTCAGTCCGCAGCGAAGACAAGGTTAGATTTTATAATTAGTTCCTCCTGTTCAATCGTGAGACAATCTACTTTCTTTGATCGTGTCAAGCGAAAGAGAAAACTGAAGTACATTGTAATCGTGGAAAAGTTGGAGGCCTAAAGGGACAGAAGGGGGGCGAGAGATAGAGATAGAGAGAGAGAGAGAGAGAGAGAGAGAGAGAGAGAGAGAGAGAGAGAGAGACAGAGCGAGAGAAAGAGAGAGAGAGAGAGAGAAAGAAAGAGAGAGAAAGAGAGAGAGAAAGAGAGAGAGAGAGAGAGAGAGAGAGACCTCGCGGCATGGATGAGCATCTGTGTCGAAACTGATTAAACGTGCGGGAAACAGAAGGTTGTGGATAGACACGACTAGCAACGCCAAATGGCATGGAAGACCATCTGTATCAGAAATGAATGAAACTACATACGATACCTCCTCCTCCCCCCCCCCTTCCCCCCCCCCCTTAACCCATCTACAAATGTTTTGCGGGGATAAGACAAGACATCCCTCTTCCTCCAAAACATGACTGGGGTTCTGTATTAAACAAATAGACGTGAACTGATCTACACACATGGAAAGAAGCAGACAAATAGAAGGACACACACAAGGCAACATGAAAATCGATGCTATAGTACACCATGCCATGAATCGAAGCTTTCTCCTCCAAATGACGAAAGCGTCTTGCTTTAGGGGAATGTGAACTAAAACATATGACCAAATTAAAACTAACACGAAACTTCAAAATTTTAATTATAATGTCAAATCAGTCCGGTCGCATGGAGCGTAAACATGGAAAACAACCAATAAATTACAAACATGTATTAACTGGTGCTTGCGCAGAATAGAGGGAATTAAACGGTATGGTACAATCACTAATGTGGATCTTTGGGAGAGAAATAAATAAGTTCCAGTGGACCAAGAGGTATAGAAAAACAAAAAGATGATGGCGTTGGATAAGATAACGTTTAGAAAACTTGAGAACAATATAACTATGTCTTTGCACTGGAACTCACACGAGCATCGAAATTAAGGAATTCAAAAATCAAACATGGAGAAGGGTGATAGAGAGTGCAATTAAAAAGATGGGGAGGATATATGGAGAGCTACGTGCGATAGCGACCGATAGAACGACTTGGCGTGAGTTAGTTGAGGGCCTATGCTCCACTGGCGGTTAGAATTGAGGTGTGAACAGCGGATCAACATGACAAGTGCTCCGTTCTTCTTCTAACTCAAGTCTGAGTCCGAAGAAGCTCAGCACAGTGCACATGCTCTGTAGCACTGGCGAGGATCCTGAAATACTTTAGATAGATTTTTATCTCAAAATTTTGCCCGGTTTTTTTTTTCTTGCGCAACAATGCACACGGGCGTCCGTTCTCGCTACACAGAGACCAGAACAAGTTACTGGAAGTCCAAGTCCACGTGAACAAATCCCAGCCCTTACCAGGGATTGAATCCGGAACCTCTAGCACTCGAGGCGGACAACATGCCTCGAGACCAAGCAGACCACGATTGGAAAGTCAGCAGAAGAAGAAGACACATGACCAGCTAAGCATACCTCGAACAGTTTATCAGGACAAGTCCTGGACTGAGAACCGGGTCATCGATATACTGACCACATCACCCATCAAGTGCCCAATAGTCTGTATATCACGTAGCTTCTTTATAGATCGTCGCTCTCATCGCGGTCTGCCTGAATGAAACTCAGTCTCTCGCCAGCTCTCCCGCCTCGTGTACCTGCACATTCAAAGAGTCACTTATATCCTGTCCCCATCTTCGTGTTGGTCGGCCCCTACCCCTCCTTCCTTGTACCAAACGTTCTGCTTTTATTTTTTTTCCAATCCACCATGCGCTTGATATGACCAAAATATTTCAACATCCTTGAAAAGATGCTGTTTATACGCCAAGTCTTCCTCGACGTTCAGATCTTTTAAATGGTCAGCATTTCTTCTCTTTTATGTCTATGATATTCTGAGATTCTTTCTATAACAATTCAACTCAAAAGCCCTTATTTTCTTTCT